TCATCCCCTTGGTCACATCGCTCCTGCAACCACACTTCCCCCTTACACCTCTTTTCTCCTTAATGCCTTTGTGCTGGTCTCTCTGCCTGCCACCTCCTGCCACACTGTTAACGCCCATGCATGATTCAGAACCCAGTGTAAGCACCATCTACTCAGGAGGCCTTTTCTGATGCTGCCTCTATGCTGGGTCTCTCCGGGTTCTTCCAGGATATCCGCCTCTCTGTCCACCATTTTACTCACACTGAAATTTGATGGTTTCTTTGTGTCTGTTTCCTCCACCATACTGAACAACTGCCTTCTATGTACCTTGATATCTCTACTATCTTTACAGTACCCAACCCACAGTACTATTGAGCTCATGTGTGGCTGACTAAGTAGGTGAATAAATAAAAGAGAGAGCCATTCTGTACTGTACCCTTTGTATGCACTTAGCACAGAGTCGCCAGCGTTACCAAATAAAAATACTGGATGCCAAGTTAAATTTGAAATTCAGACAAAGAACAAACAATTTTTCAGTATGAGTAGGTCCTAAATACTTCCTGGGACATATATATGCCCCCAAATTATTCGATTATTTGTTGTGTACCTGAAATTAAAATTTAACTGGGTGTCCTGGCAACCCTAATCTAGCAAAAAAAGAAAAATGAGTTCACGCCCAAAGTAGAAGTTCACACAATGCATTAGTGCACACTGTGCTTGACATCACATGCCCTCAGGTTGTACAGAGACTCCTGCCAAACATTCGAATGTCCCAGATGTAACTATCTCACTAGACTCAGATGCACTAGCCTTGCCATGCTGTGTACTGTTACATACATGTATTTTTTCTTTGCATGGCAAGGACACTTAATCTACACGTATTTGGGCAATATGGACAGATGATCAGAGCTTGTTTGTGAGTCACCTCATCGCATTTCCTATCTGATGGCGGTTTCTTGTTGCTAGATGGTGGTTGCAGGGCATTTGAAAAGGGAGTATAAAATGTACCCTTGGTCTTCTGGGATGAATGTGAGAGATAGGCCTGTGTTCCTTCTTAAAGCCTATGAAACCTTGGATGTGGGTTCTAGATTTTCTTAGGAAGTTAAGACTGAATAGCGCTCACTATTTACATTTCTGCTCAGGCCAGCCAGGATGCCTGAGAACTGGTATGCTAAGGATTGAGCATGACTTGGACAGGACTTCGTACTGTCTCCAGGCTACTGAGGTTGTTTATTGAGCACGCTCCCTAGTAAAGTGTCAGATGACTGAAGTATGATTCTTATTGAAGGAAAAAAAAATTTTTTTTCAAATTAGAAACACCCAAGTTGTTAACAGTGTATTTTTTTGACGGTGAAAGAGTGTATTTCTCCATGACTAGACACAGAATTGAAATACGGCACATTTCATCTCTCACATTCTCTTTCTCCCGTCCCCTTCATGGCACAATGGATAATTATGGAAATTCCTCAGCTAGGATAGTTGGACAGAGTTTTAGATAGGAGTCAGACATGTTCTCTTAGGGAAAGCTGAATTCTAATGGCAGGAAGATTGGCCAGAAAAACAGTCATGAAACATTTTTGTGGCCTCAGTATCATGATCTTGTCAGTAAAGCGATGGTCTCTGATTAAATCCAGATTGAGCTGTTTCCTGTTAGCATGTTAACCCAGAGGGCAGGCTCAGCCCTCCACGTTGTGCCTCTAAGTCTGGGGTATTAAACACTTGTCTGCCAAGCCTCTCCCCCCACCACACCCCACTTTTCTTTTAAACTAGAATTCAAAGGTATTGAGATATTACAAACAAAAAAGATCCTAAAGTCTCTTAACAGGGTTATGTTGCTTTTGAATATTTGGCTGCAAAAATGAAACTAAAATTTTAGCTTCTCCACTCTGACCATAAGGCAGAGTATATTTTTTTGGTTTCACTCTTGTATAATTTTATGTTAAAATAACTCCAGTAAGAAGCAGATCATTTTTAAGGTTTTGTTTTACTAAAAAAAATGTACTTTACTCGAGTGTTGGGAAATTAGAACCCATTTTCAAACACCGGGTCTTCCCTTTGCTGTAACAAGTCAATATCAGGGTGCTTAGCAAATGTGCAGCAGATGACATTGAGCAAGGGTCCTACACCTTAACATGCGTTGTTCATTTGGGGGAGAATGATTTTAGAGCAGTTCCTGTACTTTGTAATTGATGCTCACTCATTGCTCTTTGAGATTGATTTTTTAAATGTAAATAGTCAAAGTATTTTATTAGTCACTCTGTTAGCTCAAAAATGGTTCTTCCTAATTTACAGATGCAAACACTGAGGAAGAAAAACCATTAAAGGGACTTATGGGGGTCAAGCATGCATCTTGAGATTTTTTTCAGAGGAGATGGAGGACTGAAAGGAAGGACTGGGTTAATGAGCGCTATGATTCCCTTCCCAGGGGGAGAACATGGCTTCCTGCCAAATCTGCTCTCTGGCAGGAAAAGGGACCCACTTCATCAGGGCCTTTGACAGGCGTTTTTCTCTGTTTGAAGTTTTGGCCACATCAGTGCTCAGTGAAAAATCAGTTCTTTTAAAATAGTGATTACTTTTCAATAAGAAAAGACTTGAAGTGGAATTTGCATTGTGAGTAAAATAAGAATCATCAAAGTACAGAATTATTTGCTAAGGGATCCCTGACATTGCCACAAGGTAAGGAAGCTTGATTTACAATTAGAGCTAGAATATTCCTGTAGGCTAAGAAGCCCCTTCCCTTTTGTTGTTGTTAATATTTGACACTGAAGAATATTTTTTGGTGACCATTTTTTAATGTGCTCAGGCTAATAATTATTTTGACCAGGTCTTTTGAAATGACAAAGTAAAACACACCAAGCGTCCCTAAATTTTGGTATTAAGAAAGAGATTAAAAATATATAGGGATGTTAGAAGGTGAAAATTGACATTGTATTTTGTAAATCTTGATTTTTCTTCTTGTTAGGTGACAAGTGGCAAGTGGGAATTGAGTTTTAAATGCATCATGGTGACTTACTAAGCTAACACTTCCCAAGCCTTGTTCATTCTGATGCTCGTTCGGCAAGATGTTCCGAATATAAAAGGAAACCCATTTGGAAATGTCATAAACCACATCCTTCTCTTGGAGTTTCATACCATGTTATCATGTTAAAGACTTTAAGAGATTCTAAAGTCATCTATTCGACTTTAACTCCGTAGTTCCCCTATTTGAGCACAGCACCTTTTGTTTTGGAATTAATGTTTTACAGCACAAACTCAGGGTGACACTGTTCCAAGTAGTTAACAATGTAATTAGACTTTGGACCATATCTTTTCCATTTATTGTTCCTGGTTAAAGTTAATTGAAGCTCCTGGGAGACAGATGAGTACTATTAGGTCTGGTTTTTAAATTTTTTTAATTTTTTATTTAATTTTTTAATTAGTTTCAGGTGTACAACACAGTGCAATGGTTATAGTTTTGAAGACCTGTTTTAAAACTACCTATAAGTGATAAAGAACAGTTATTAGGCCATGATCTGATCAATAGCCCTAACAGGCCTAAAGAAACACTGGGTATTTTGCCTGAACCTGACTCTTCTTTTTAGTAAACTAAAAGTATCTTTCAAAATTAAATAAAGGAAAAAAAAAAGTCACCAACCATATAAGCTAGAGTCTTCATATTAATTCCTGTTAACAGTTAGCCATGGTGACATTAAGCTACTAGAACCCCCTTCTGAAAGCGATTGCCCCCACTTTGGTCTTACAGAAAGCAATCTCCCCTGCTCACTTCTTCGCAGTGCTTTAACTTGCCAGGTGAAGACAGAGCAAGCATGCTACTCAGTAAGCACAATGTCATCATTTAAAGACGCAGTTCGCTCTTCTCCGCCCCTCTTCTTTAATTTTCACATGTCTGATTATTTCAATTTAGGAAAATTGGTATAAAACAATTCAAACTTACAATTCAGAGAAATTGCCTGGTGATTCTTGGCATCACTTAGAATGATCATGTGCTTTAGAGAAAGGCCCTCTGGGTAGATTCCTTCCCTAGTGCTTATGAAGGACAAGTTAAACTTTGAAAACTGCATCTCTGTATAACTTGTTAGGCACCAATTTATTGCAGAATCTAAGGCACACCGTATTTTTCTTCCATCTAATTCTCTTCCCTCATCTTCAGTTTTTAAGCTTTACAGATTTTATCACTAATCACGTCTTAAGGATTATTATGGTTTATGTCCCCAAGGTACAGGTATACTCACCAGTATTAGTCACAGTTTCATTCTCATGCAACAGCTACTTCTCATGAGCAGATGTCTCCTCTTGTACATTGCTGGTTTCCAGAAGGCTGGGGTCATTCACTCACCCACCCTTCCATTATTCCCCAGAGATTAGCCCAGAGCTGCTTGGTACAGCCACTTCTCAGTCAACTCTGTTGATTGCTGATGCTATTGAATCAGAAAGGATAATGCTTTCCACTGACTGAAGAACATCAGATCATGGTTAGATCTCCATAGATTTCCATGGAGAACATATTCCCAACATGGCTGATTTTTCAGGCTATCAATGTGATGTCCACTGGCTCACACAAATCCTAAAAATTTAATAATCAGCTCTCCCAAGCCTGTATGAGTTGGCTCCAGCACACCGCAGTGGGAGCTATCTTTAAGAATGAGTTTGAAAATTTACCATGGAACCATCCAAAGGAAATGATTGATAACATTTGCTACACTCAATCCTGGGTTCATAAAAGACATCCTTGATACAATGTGCCAGCAACCTAGTTCTTGATGGGATAGTCCATAAGAGCAAATGTGACCATGACGAAGTAGTAATTCCTCTACTTCTAGAGAGGAAGGGAACACCCCTCTCCTCCCACTCCCCCGCCACTGCCATCACTCCACTCACAGGCAAGGGGATGGCCTTTTGTGACTTGTAGGAAAATCAGAGCAAGGACAAACCTGACAGGCTATGCTTCCGCTATTTCGATGTTCTCAGTTTTACTTTAGGGAATCATTTCTCCTGCTCATGACCATGAATTTATTGTGCAGGTGGAAGGGGACCAGCTGCCTCCAGGACATACAGTCAGTCAGTATGAGACCTGTAAGATCAGGACCATAAAAGCTGGTACCTTGGAGAAGCTGGTGGAGAATCTGCTGACAGCTTTTGGGGACAATGACTTCACCTACATCAGCATCTTCCTGTCAACGTACAGAGGCTTTGCCTCCACTAAAGAAGTGCTGGAACTGCTGCTGGACAGGTAAGGATCTAAAGGTGTGCGAGCGGTGATAGGAACAAAAGGCTGTGTGCAGGATGAAGGCCTGAGGCTCTGAATCACCTGCATGTGTATGAGAGAGGTGTGTGAGGAACGGTTAACCGGAAGGAGTGACCTTTGGAACAAATGGCATGAAGATTATTCAGGAGCCACTTTATGGTCTTGTTTCTGATAAAGATATTGCATAAAAAAATCTATAAAAGAGTTAGGAGTACAGACCATAAATCTAGACTTTATTGTTTATAGATTTCGGTTACTATTTGCCACCCTAAATTTTTCCCCATATTTTTATAATTTTATATAATTTCAGTAAATAATTAACCAAGACTCTTATTGGGTTGTTGTGAGAATTAGATATGCTAATAAGTATTAGATCCATAAGAAGGAGCTAATGAACGGTGGCTTTAATTATGATGATGATGATGATGATGATGGTAACGATCAACAGTCGCCATATGTCAGCTGCTTTATGGATATGCACATAAATATCATCCTCAATCTATGTTAAGTCACATGTGCCAGATAGTAGAGCAGTGTACATCGTAATTCATACATCAGTAATTATATTTACCACCTTAGTTTTGTTTTATTTGTAATTAAACTTGGCCTTTTAAAAATTATTATTAAATTGATTTGATACTGGGAGGAAGAAAACAGTAAGCCAAACAATTGTTTTAGAATCATGAGCATTCTCATCCAAATCATTATATTCTGGGGTTTCCTGCATCAGAAAAGAAATGAGATAGGATGTTTTCATTGGAGTTGTTGAATACTGATTTTTAAAAAAAGCTTGAAAGTAATATGTGTTCATGTTAAAAATTCTTATACTATAGGAAGGCATAAAAGGAAATATTAATCTTTTCTCATATTGCTACCTTTTCCCAAATAACTTTTATTAGGTTTTAAAAAATATATAGAAATAGAAAGAAAAAAAAAAGGACCATAATCTAATTAGGCAGATAACACACGTTAATATTTTTTTTAAATATTATAGAAGTAATCCATGTATGCAATGAAAAGTTGAAACAATTCAGAAGATTATAAAAATAAAAAGTAAAACTTGCCTTTTGTCTAAGTCCCATTGCTCCTAGGTAGTCACTGTAAACCATTCTTTTTCCCAAAATTTTCTGGATACACGCACGCACACACACACACACTCACTCACATATATACATACATATTTATATAGCTATATAGCGATATATCATGTATGTGATATTTGTTTACATATGATATTTATTATATATATTATATATACTAATATATGATACAAATAGACGCATAGTACATGGTCTGTCCTGCAACTTTCTTTTTTTACTTACCTGTGTATTTTGGAGTGTTTATTCATTAAGGGAATTAACATACGTTAAAGGGCTTATTAGAACAGTGGCTGGCATTTTGAAAGCTCAAGAAACATGGTATTGTTACTTTCAAAATCAGCACAAGTACATAGATTTACCATATATTTTTTAGTGGCTTAATAGTATTTATTGAACTGATTATTCTAGATGGACAGTTAAGCTCGCTCCAGTTTTTTAATTTGTTTTCTGAATTTTTAAACAATGCTGCGAAGAGTGCCTTTGAATATGTAATCTTCTGGGTACTTGTTTGAGAATTCTATAGGATAATTTCATAAAAGAGTGGTTGATCGGTCAAAATATATAAACATTGTACAACGTGAAAGGTATTGCTGCATTGCCCTCCAGAAGTTTCACCAGCCACACTCCTGCCCACAGAGAATGAGTGCGCCTGTTCCCTCACCTTCCCCACCCTCTTGCCACCTGTGGATATTTTCAGCTCTACCATGGAAACCACCTCTACCATGACCTGTCCATTGAAAAATAGCTCATTGTTTTAAAATGTATGTTTCTTCCATGTACAAGTGAGGTTTAGCACCCTTTAAAATACTTATTGGACATTTGGTTTTCTGCCAACTATCTTTTCATATCCTTTAATTATTTTTATTTTGGGTCATTGTCATCTAATTATCAGTCATCTAATAGTAACTCTTGGTGTATTAACAAAATTAGCTTTTTGCTTATTATATATTGGAAATACTTTTCCTAATTTCTCCCTTGGGTTTAAAAGTTGCTTATTAATATTCTTTTTTTATGAAGACATTTACATATTTTTATTCAGTTATCAGTCTTAAGAAAGGCCTTTAATAATCAAGTTTTATTCCAGTGTGAATAAGATTATTGACAACAGTGGGGTTTTCTCAAGGTCTTTTCCTCATAAATGCATAGAGAGTGAAATCATTTGGTTCATATGTTCATGTTCAGGAACATTCAAAAATGTCTCTCCTTTATCATACATTATCTGGTTGGGATAACTTTGGACTTAGATAAGAAGTTCTGTAGATTTTTGCATAGTTGTACCTAAAATATTAGGCCTGGAATATAAACCTGTGGGATTAGTGAGTCATTTTTTTCGTAGTTTGTTTGCTTGTAGAATACCTTTCACCTATAAATAGAAACCGAAGAATTATGTGAATTTTCTCTGTGTTATTTTATATTTATAAAAAAGACGCAGTATGCTAACTGTCGGCAGGCAGTCTGAGGAAAGAGATCAAGTTTTCTTTGGAATGGGCGACCTCTCCTCCTTCTGGGGTAACTGTATTGATAACAGGCCGCAGATGGCCGCTGTCGGTAGTGGAGTGCACGTGAATTCCAGCTGTTCATGACAAGCTGGGGACATACACACAGGAACTCCAGTGTTTAGTCTGTGACTCGTGTACATCCAGCCTTTATTTAATGGTTCTAAAATACCTTCTCTTTGTTCTCCCATAGTCGACAGAGATTTTTGGATTTTCAAAATACCCACTAGATGACAATTATTAACTAACAGAATCAACGTGAATTCAAATGACATTGAACTCAAACTGTCATTTAGGGTATAACTGAATGAAGAGTTGAGGTTTATCTTGAACCATTAGGAAGGGCCCAGGCTTGACCTTGAATTTAGTCTCCAATATATTGTTTTCTTGCTTCTGAAATGAGTGGAATCGGCAAATACTAAATGCCTATAAAATACCAGTGCTGCAAAATGCCATATGGATGAAACAGAAACCTAAGACTTGGTTGGTTCTTATCCTTGTGGTGAATTTACCGTGAAGCTGCTGGTGCTTAACCTCCAGGGACCCTCACTTGCAGCACCCTCTACATAATTTATATTCATAATTGCATATTCTTTTTCTTAGCGAGGACCCCTCAAATTACATAGGCTGGCCCTGCAAAACGTGGATCTACCCTGAGAGCTGAATATTTTACTACAAAAAATAAGGCCTACATTTATAAAACAAGTAGACAGCCACTTAAGATGGTGTAAAAATGAAACTCTAACATGCTCTTCAGAGAAGTAAATCTCATTGATTTTGCTTCCTCTGCAAAAATTTGGATTTGTCCTGATATGCACAGACTTCAACATGAGTATGGCTTCCTCACTCCATTTCCTCCTCACACTTAGATCTTGTGACCAGATGTTAATCTGTGTTTCATTTTAACCAAAATGCAAATCTCGTGCAACACTGGGTTCTTAAATTGATTTGGGGTGGTTTTAGTGTCTGTAATTGGGAAGTAAGCAATTAAGTTGCACGAACTTACATTTTTTGAAGATAAACTTGATACACTATTTTCTTGTGAGGAAATTGTGGTAGACTTGTTTGTGAGTCTCTGGTGCAATTTTTTTGAAAATGATTTCTGTCGGTTTCTTAAGAATAGATTGCTTGTCTTCTGTGCATTGAACACTGAGAAGTTATTGTAGGGTGAGCTAATCCTAACCAGTCGAGAATGCATGGAAGGTATACGCTGCAGTATTTATTTCCCTCCAGAGAAAAGCTTGTTTGAAGTCTAGCTTTGATTTTCCTTAAGATTTCCAATCATGTGGCTTTTCTCGTATGGAACTGTTTGTTTGCTTTCTGAGATTTTTAAAAAATCTTTTTATAGTTTTTAAAAAATTATTATTATCCTGTTAATGTGAGCCTTTGTGATTGATCAGCAGGCAGTGGTTTGAAGCCCCAGGCGGTTAAATCCCTGTGTTTGCTTTCTCCTGAACTTGTGATCAACAGTTCACAAGAAATCCTGTTTTCTGGGCTTCTCACCACACTCAGAGTTAATTCTAGGGCTCACTGGCTTCCTCTCAGTCTAAGAGAAAGTTTTTGAATTGCGGTTTAGCTGTTTGTGTTGGGGCTTTGAGATTTTATCTTCTCTAACTTCAAACATACACTCCACTTAAAAATATATTCTTCCCACCATACTATTAAAAAAAACTATGGGAGTTAAGTTCCCCTGAAAATACCCAACATCAAATGGAAGGAGAAACCTAACTCAGCTGGTGATCCTCACTGAGAACCAAGAAGCATTTATGCAAATCTCTAGACTTTTCTGCAGACAGCTGTCACATTAGCTACTTTTGGGATATTTCTTGATTGTTCTTTCTCCGATCTGCATCTCTGATATCAGAAGTAATCAAAATGCCAAGAACAAGCAGAATAAGGGCGAGCTAGGTCTCCAGAAATGATTGCTAAGTCACTGATGGCACTCAGGTCACAGTTTGGAAAGGATGGAGCAATAATCTGAAATATCCCTTCATTTCAAGCGAATTCTCCTAGTGGAGGACTTCTGGAGAGGATCAAGGTTGAAGCCACCCATAGACATGATGCTTTAAGACCAATCTGGCTTGAATGTGCTCACTTAGGTCATGGACAGGAGTCTAATTCAGGGGTCTTTGAACTTACTTCTTCTCCCCATGTTTGCTCACCCTGCATTTGCACAAACTTTATCTCATTTAGTTCATTTATCATTACATTCCTCCCATGTTTACAAATGTGGATATTGAGGCTCAGAAACATGCAGTCAGTAAGTGGCAGAGCTGGGATTAAAACCTATTTCTTTCTGACTCGGAAGCTCTTTTCAAGTGTACCATATCACTTCCTGTGACTTGTCAATGTCATATTTGAAGGATGGGTGATTTGGGAATCCTCAGCT